GTGTGTGTGTGTGTGTGTGTGTGTGTGTGTGTGTGTGTGTGTGTGTGCGTGCGCGCGCGCGCCCTCCAGCACTTGCATGCACACGTATGGATGCATGAAAACCCTCCCTCGCCATGTTTCTAATAGGATCCTGCAGGGAGACACATTCACAATCTCATTCAAGTGTGTGGCCCCTGACAGCCGGGTCCTGACCCTGCTCTGATTAAACCAACCACATCATTATTGTAATCCTCATCAGAATGATGATTCTTCTGCTGGAGCTGTGAGTTCACCAGCACGCTCATCTGGATGTTTTTTTTTTTGTTTTTCTTCACGCCTGTGAGCTTTCATCTGTGTTTAGAAATGCATGCGTGCGCTATCTGCCTCTCAAGTCCATGCGTTTACACCTCATATCAGTATTGGAACAGGGAGCAAACGTGTTTGTTTTTCCTTCATAGCAGCGTGTGCCCTTACACTGTTAACGCCACTGAATCTCTTTCCTGTTCTGTTGAAGCTGCAGCCGTTTGACAGCAGCTAATGGCTATCTAACCACTGGCTCTGACAGCTCTAACTTGTTATAATACCTACTGAAATGTCAGAGGGGAAACAGTACTCTGATCTCTTTTAATTCTCCGCTCTAATGACTGATGATGCTAATGAAGGCAGAGACGGTGTTGTATAGGTTTCATTTGGTGTGGTACAGTACAGACGCTTTAAACACTGCAGTGGTGCAATGCCACAGTGCCACCTAGTGGTCGAGGTCTGATTCATTTGGTTTTGTGGTATTCATTGGGAAGCCCGCTGATGTGAATGTGTTCCCTCTCCTTCCCATTTCTCTCTGCAGACAGGCATGCTGAACAAGCACCTGAGTTCTCTAATGGCCGGTCTGACTGCCAAGGTCTTCAGGACATACAACGCCTCCATCACCTTACAGCAGCAGCTCAAAGAGCTCACAAACAGTAAGCAGTGCAACATTACAAAACCTCACATTCCTAAGCAGCTAGAAAAGTATCCCCCCCCCCCCTGGCCATTGTCTTATTACCTGACTGCTTTTGTCATGGAGTCCCATGCTAAAACTGCCACACTTTTGATGTTTTTGCTTGATTCAAGATACCGTTACTCCAGGCAGCTTTTCCAGCCATTGCAGGAGTACATTATCAGTGTGCACACTGCTGTGAATCTCTGCCTCACTCTTATCAGGGTCCCATTGGCTGCCTGCGCCACCGTTTCTCACTCAGAGATAGCAGTGTCACGCTCTTTTCTCATCTCTGGATTGCCGCTGAGAGCCAATCTGCAGGATGGCATGTGGTTGTACCGTGTGTTGTGTGGACCCCAGGAATAGTAGATGAAGCTTACAGGGATCTGAATAAATGAAATGAAATGACAGCAGTGTGTGTGTGTGTGTGTGTGTGCGTGTGTGTGCGTGTGTGTGTGTGTGTGTGTGTGTGTGTGTGTGTGTGTGTGTGTGTG